GTTTGCTTAGATATTATCTGACACTCTGACTCGCAAGCCACATCCTGATTTCCCCTCAACAGAAGCTCCACCTAGGCAGAAACTTGACCTTGCTCAACACCGTTTCTATAGCCTTAGAAGATGCTCAATCCTTATTTTCTAAATGAACAAGTGGGGGTGAGGGAGAAGATGATGATCATCTTCCACTTTTTATATTTTAGATGAATTTGAATTTTTTATAAAGTGCATAAGAAAAAAGGAATGAAGCTAAAGCAAAATAATATAAAATTAGCCCGTTTATCAAACAGATGAAAACTGTATGCCCCCAAGAATCTGTTATATTGATTGCCAGCAATTCACATTATTTCAGTGTCCATATTGTTTATTAAACCTGAAACACTGGCCAGTTTAATGATCTGCTTGCTAGTCAGTACACATCCTTGGACTTTTAAATAACAGTCATCTCTCCTGGGCTTATGGAAGGATCACTGCCTGAGCTTTCCACTGTACCCCAGTCTCTTACTCACAGTGCATTTGTTTCTACCCTGATACCATTGTGGCTGCCACTGCCTCCCTGGCCTTCTCCCCACACCAGGCTGCTCCCTGCCCGATTTCCCTGCCCAAAAGCTTGATCATCCTTGAAGGCACATCCAGATCTACCAAGAAACACCCATAGGGACAAACAACTGTGGTTTTTCTTTTTAAACCCAGTGCTTTTCAAAAAGCACCTTTTCTTTGTGTCTCCCTCAGTTAATTACAGTTGGCGGAAAGCAATGTTTTCATATACCTTACCACACTGAAATGTCACTATACATTTTCCAAATGAATTAAAAAACACACTGCTAGTGGGAAAACATTGTCAAAGGTGGATGGGAACAATTGCTCAGAATCTGTTTCAGATGAGAAAATATTAGATGGTTTTCAAGGGTTCAAAAACCTTTCCTCACACATTCTCCTGAGGAAGGCAATATATACACAACCATTAATCCAGAATTTACAAAGAAATGAGAACCATGAAGAGCAATGGCCTCTGACTTTGGAATAAACTCTGCAAATACTGTTGGATGCCACCCACTTATGCCCTATTATGACAACCATTCAGCACCAATGCTGTGTTAAATGCATTATGTGCATTATTCTCATTCAATCTGCCAAGAGCCCGAAGTGCCCATTCCTATTATATCCCCATTTTACAGGTGAAGCAAACCATACATGGAGAGCATCAGCAAATTTCCCATGATGACAAAGCCCCAAAGGGGTACAGCTGGTTTGAATTCATTTCCCCTGACTTCAGAATTTCTGTATCTTTCATTTTAAAACTAGAGTTGAAGTGAAAGGCAGCAGTTAATACAACCTTAACTAAAACCAGTGAGTTCTGCAATCTTTCTCCCCTTTAAATTCCTTTTCATTTACACATACTCAATGCTTAGCACAAAATGTTTGAATACATGCAGAAGTCAAAGAGAACATGCCTTCTTTTTAATGGGCTCTTTCTATTCTCCAGCATTTCACATATCACAGTGTTGGCTCAGGGATTGTTATGAATAGAATCAATAATACTAATTCTCACACTTCACTACTAAATAAATGGATGCCCCAGATGTTACAGAATGGACTCCTAGATCCCCTCAGAGTTGGAAGGGCACTCCAAAAGAGTCACTTTAATCAAAATATACCTGGTTGCAGATAAGAGTCTAAAGACCAGAACTTGCCACATTTAAGGTTAAAAAGTGGGATTCTGAATGTAAACTAATACAACCATTACAGAAATCAGTATGAAAATTCTTCAAAAAACTAAAGTAGAAATTCCATTTGATCCAGCTATATGCCTTGTAGGTATCTTCCCAAAAGAGTTGAAGTCATAATATTACAAGGATACATGCATACGCATGTTTATAGCAGCACAATTTATAATAGTAAAGGGCCAGGGATATAGCTTAGCCTCACAGTGCCTGCCTGGCAAGCATGAGGTCATGAATTTGATTCCTGGTACCAAAAAAAAGAAAAAGAAAATAATTTATAATAGCTAGATTTTAGAAATTGTGTATATTTCCATCAACAGATGAATGGATAAAGAAAATGAGGTATTTATACACAACAGAGTACTTCTCTACCATAAAAAAAGATAAAGCAGTTTTAGGCAAATGAATGCAACTTGAGAACATAATATTAAGTGAAATAAGCCAGACACACAAGCTTAAATATCATACAGATCTTCTTATATGAGAAACTACATATATTATATACATAATATATTATATATTACATATAATATAGAGGGAGTGGGACAAAATTGAAGATAAGTAGGAAGTAGGGAGATAGTTTTCAAATGGATGAGGGAACAAGAGATGGAGGGCAGAGGGAAGAAAGGGATAGGGGATGGGAAAAACAGAAGGGAAAAAAATAATGAAAATACATAGCCTGGGATATAGCTCAGTGGCAGAGCACCTGCCTGTAAGAATGAGGTCTTGAATTTGATTCCCAGTACCCACACACACAAAAATATATACAGCTTTTGCAAATGGAAAGAGGGTCAAGAGTTGGAGGAAGCAGGGATATAGGGGCTTAGGGGATGAAAAAAAGAATTAAGGTGTATTGTGTGCATGTATCAGCTTCCCACAATAAGTGTAATCACTGTGTGCTGCAAACACGTAATAATAAATAAAAAATAACAAAAAGTGGGGTTCTGGGTTAGCTCTTTAAGAAGAATTGGAGGCTGAGGATATATGTCAGTGGTGGAATTCTTGTCTACTATGCCTGAAGTCCTGAATTCAACCCCTTGGGGGAAAAAAGGATTTCAAATGTGAACAAATGAAAAGGGAGAAAAAATATTTGGGGATCCTTGTAAAAGCAAAATTATGGTCTTACACTGGAACAGGAAGAAAGTCTCGAGATCTTTGATGGTTTGGAAGAATGAGAAAGCCTTTTTGCCACTTAGCTAGGACTTAGAAGTATAAAAATGTCAGAGGCTAGTGTTGGTGATGTGGCTCAGTGGTAGAGCTTTTACCTTGCACGTGCAAAGCCCTGGGTTCAATCCCCACCAACACACACACACACACATGTCAGGGGTAAACTGGTATAAATTGAGTGCTTGCTGCAATTTTTCTGTATGCTTGAAATTCTTCCTAATAAAATGGTGAGAAAATAAAAAGCTAAGAATTTTTAGGGGATGCACCAACATTCCTGTTTGAGTCCGGGGTGCTGTTTTATGTAATTCCTCGCAAAGTTCCTTCTACAGATGTTGTAATAGAGCAGTAGAAGTAGCCAAGATGTGTTAGGCACTCACCTGGAGATCTCCATACACTGTCTTATTTAATATTCACAGTAAAGCTACAAGGTAGGCACTACTATTATCTACATTTTCATAAAACAGAGACAAAGTGCAGCTTAGAAATGTGCTCAATGTCACATTGTCAGCAAGTGGCAGAGGGATGACTCAAACCAGCACTTATTTGAATATGTGCAGCTCTACTTCTTGTGGCCCCAGCCATCTTTCAAGGCCACTGTGAGCTGCAGAGAACCAAACTGCTGTTACACACTTGTCACTAACCTGGGTCTGGGACTTTCCCAACAGACTTAAGAAGGTTCCTGAAAACAGGAGAACAATAAACCTTCATGCTAAAAGTCTGGGATTTAAACAAGTCTGAGTCTAAATCTAGGTTCTACCATTTAAAATTTGTATCACCTCACAAGCCCCAGTGTTTTCATTTCTGCAAGGGAAGACAAAATAACACAGGAGGACCTTGTTGAGATTAAATGAGATGATACATTGAAAGTTCTTAGCACATGATAATCTAGCAGTAAAAGGTAGCCATAGTTGATATCATAGTTGATCTTGTGAGAAACACAGACCATCAGTCCTGAGGCGATGCCAAAGCAGCAAAGCCAAAGGATTTGTAAAGAATGAAAGAGAAGAGATCCAGGTTTTAAAAGGAGAAAGAGAAAGAAGGAAAAAGGTTGAAACATTAAAGGATCCATCACAGCAGGTGAGAAACTAAGACATTTAATTGTGATTTTAATTTGAATCCATCAGAATCAGAACACAATTGAACCATTCTAGGAAGATTTAGTGAGTTCATCATTACAGATATAGAAAAAGCACTCACAATTTTCCCCCAGGTGAAGACAGGAAAGAGCACATTCACAATACTTTGGCCCAGCATAACTCAGAAACTGGTGCTGATGAAGAGCACACAGAGAACCATCAGCAGGAGCCCAGGCAGGAAGCTTAAGGGTGGCAGCCTGGCAGGAGGCGCAAGGGGCTAGGGACAGCTTGTGACCCTAGGGCTCCTGTGGCTGCCTCTACTCTTTGAAGGTAGGAATCTCAACTAGTGTATTCTATTAATTAAAAACAAAAATCCTTCATTTATTTCAAAATGTTGACACCAGAACAAAATAGAGAGTACCAGGAAATACAGCTGGTCGTTTCAGACCTGCCTCCAGGATTATTCCCAAACCAGACTGTAATTGAGTCAAGGGAAAGAGGAGAAGGGTTTGCTTGGGTAGCCTCCCTCAACCCTTTCCCCCCGCCCCCTTGGGCCCAGAAGGAGATGAGACAGGTTGGGATTTCAGAGGAGCCCTGAACCTGATGCTGGAGATAGCAAGCTGGAACCTAGCGGACACTCCCCTCTCATCGAGGACGTTGGCGCTTTCTAGGGGGGCCCTAGGCTCCAGCACCCCAGTGCATCCTTGGTAGGGAAAGGATCCTCCTTCTTCGGCTGCAGGAAAGACCTTACTGCCCAGGACAAGCAGCTAGCTGACAGATGCAGGACTTCCAAATTCAACCCAGACTCCTGGGTTGGCTGCCTGGCGATTTCCCGAGCCTCTCGGTGAAGTCTAGCCCGGAGGGTCCCCTCTTTTGTTTGTGGGGAGAGCGCGGCGCTGCGCAGCACCACCCCCTCCCCCGGCCCTGAAAGCGGGGGCGCTCCCCTGGGTGGGTTCCCCTCAATCGGCGCGCTCCGGCGACCACGGCTCCGGCTCAAGGATCCCAACTGTTTCCTCATCCCTACCCCAGTACTCACTTCTCCCCAGTCCTTCTGCTCTCCACGCTGTCTCCTCCACCGCCCCATAGCGCCTCAGCGGCTTCTCAGCTTCCAGATGGGTGGACAAAGATTGCTTTAACTCCATCGTGGATCCTTCTGGGCAGGTCGAAGGGTGCCCCTTTACTCCATCTCTACTACTGCGGGGTGCAGGGAGGGAGGTGGCTTCAACCAGCAGGGCTTTAAGGGGCTGGACGATCGTGACGCTGCTCCATCTCCTCTGTCGCCAGCGCCCGGGAGCGCCAACTGGTACCCTGGAGGGGGAGGGATGCAGGGCACATGCGCATTGGAGACTTGGGGAAAACTTGGGGGCTGGGTAGGGAAAAAGAGGGCATTTGATAAACTCTAAAAACAGCAGCAAAACAACTAAAACAAAACCCAAAGAAAGCAAGAAAGAGACCCCTGCCCATACTGGAGCCGGTAGTCCTGGCTCCATGAGCTGGCACTGTGACCTGTCAGCCAGCTACTAGGTTTTGAGTGGGATTGGTAAGTCAGTCTTCATCTGTGGGTGATGGATACATCTTTGTGGGGAGTATGCACTAGCGGGAGTGTGGACCTCAAACTGGGGGTTCGGTATGTTTTTGTGGGAATCTCTGTTGTTTGCACTTGTGTGCATAATTTGAATGTGAAATGAGATAGTGAATGTCTGTGTGTTTCCATGGATTTGAGAAAGATGAAAATATTTTGGACATAGGAATAACACTTGTTTGGAACAAGTTTTGGGTCCTTACTTTGTAGGAACACAGGGTTTATCTTACTGACAAAAGGTTGCAACATTAAACATATAAACTAAAATCAGCAGCTATAAAGTAAAATCAGTGCAATTTATTGAATCACAACAAGGTGCAAAACAACTTTCAATAACTCTATGAAACAGGTAGTATAGTTTGCTTTGTTGTTTTTGATTGTTTTGCAGTGCTGGTGATTGAACACAGGCCCTTCTACATGCTAGGCAAGCTCTCTACTACTGAGCTACACCCTCAGCCCTGTTTGCCTTGTTTTACAGAGGATGAACCTGACATGTAGAAAGATTAAACTACTTGCTAAAATTCTCACATATACTGAGTGTCTGGTCAGTATTTGAATTCAGAAAATTTGAATCCAGATTTAACTTCTTAATTATTATACTTAGGTCCTGGACTTCACTTAGGAATTTATTTATTTATTTATTTTTATCAAGAAGGGTGGAAAAGGCTCTCCAGGACATGGGTGGCTGGCTTATAGTCTGTGGTCATTTTGAGATATCATCTGGGAGAGTTTGTAGTATCCATATGGCATCCAGAAGTGTGAAATAGCCCAGTTCTTGAACAAAACAATTTAGCCACTTAAAGAGTTATTATCAATAATGAACTAAATAGTTCATGGGAGCAAAAAAAGAAATAAATAGAAAATAATAAGATATTTAGAACTAGATAACAATGAGAGTACTATACATCAAATTCTATGCTTTTATTTTGTTTTATGATGGCAGTCTCACTGTATTGCCTAAGCTGGCCTTAAACTCCTAGGCTCAAGTGATCTGTCTACCTCAGCCTGCCAAGGAGCTGGGACTATAGGCACAGGGACACTACCATGCCCAGCTTCAAAATGTTGAAGTTTTGATGTAAGCAAATGTACACCTTTAAGTGCTACCATAGTGGGCCTGCAATGTCCCCCAAAGGTTCATGTATTAAAGGCTTGCTCTCTAGCTTTGTGCTACTGGAAGGTGGTGGAAATCAAATAGTAGCATCTAGTGGGAGGTCTTCTGCTCTTTGGAGCTGTGCTTTTGAGGGGGATAATGGAACCCAAACCTTTCTTTGTCCTCTCTTTTTTGAGTCCTAGTCATGAGGTGAGTAGCTGATCAGGTATTGTGTTACAATAATGAAACACTGACTGACATAAATGCATTAGTCTTTAAAAAGAATGTAACACTAAAATTGAGTTAAATATAACTCAAGAGATTTTACCAAAAAAAAAGAACAGATAAAACCTAAGTGACATAGGAAAAAGAAATAATGATAAAGGCATAAATTAAGAAAAAGAAAATCAAGGAGTAGAGAAGATCAGCAAAATCAAAAGCACATTCTTTTGGGGTAAAACCTCACAAACTCATAAAAATAGGTACACATAAGTAATACTGAGAATGAAAGGAGGATATAGTACAAATATAGTAGATTTTTAAAACAGTTGAAATGAGCAACTTTCCTTTAAAAAAACTATCAAGACGTATTTAAGAAATAAAAATGCAGCTCAAAAACCACTACAAAAAATGAATTGTTAATAGAAATTTTATTTCTGTGCCCAGTCCCACAAAGGCAACAGGTCCAGATAGTTTTATAGCTGAAATTTACCCAACGAAAAGTAATTCTTTTTTAATTTTTATTTTTCATAGTACATATTTGTGGTACATAATGATTACATTCATCATGGGGAGTTGGTACATGTACATAACACATTTTAATTCTCCTTAAGAAGAATTCTTCCTCTCCCATCCTTCCATCTCATAGTTCCCTTCCTATTTGCAAAAGATCTGCCTGTTTCCTCTTATCTATCTTTTATTTTGTTCTTTAATTTATTTATACCTTGAGTTTCTCTTTAAGAGAAATCATGCAATACTTAAGCTTGTGTCTGATTTATTTCACTTAGTATTATGGTCTCAAGATGGATCCACTTTCCTACCAATGATTCAAATTTATCCTTCTTTATAGAAGATTAGTACTCTGTTATGTATAAGTACCCCATCTGATAACTCTTATTTTGTTTTATTTATTTTATTTTGTTTTATTTTGAGACAGGGTCTCACTATGCAATTGGCCTTGAGTTCGTTTTATAGCCCAGGCTGATCTTGAACTTCTAGAGATCCTCCTGCCTCAGCCTCCTGAGTGCTGAGATTACAGGTGTGTGCCACCATGCCTTGCTGATAATTCTTATTTTATAAAAAATTCTTTCAGAGCTTATCTCATGAGGATAGTATAACCTTGATACAAAACTAAATTAAAATAGTACAGAAAAAAATTATAGAGAAATCTCACCTATACATCTCCTGTTACCCAGCTGCTAGGTTTTGAGCAGGATTGGTAAGCCTATTATCATCTGTGAGCAATCTCACCATGCAAAAAATTCTAAATAAAAACACATAATAAAAATAGGATTTATTCTCTTTCTCTCTTTTTTTTTTTTTTTTGGTACTGGGAATTGAACTCCAGACCACACGCTTGCCAGGCAGGCGCTTGTGCCACTGAGCTATACCTCCCATCAATATGGAACACTTCATGAATTTGCGTGTCATCCCTGTGCAGGGGCCATGCTAATTTTCTCTGTATCATTCCAATTTTAGTATATGTGCTGCTGAAGGGAGCACTTTATTCTCAAAATAGAATGTGGTCCAGTGTCACAAAGTCTATAGGTGTAATATATTAATAAATTAAAGTAGAAAAGTACTTAGTTATCTAAAAGAATGCAGAAAAAGCATTTTAAAAAATGACAGTGTTATATAGCAATATTTTTTTCTTAGCAAACTAAGAACAGGGCATTTCCTTAACCTTCTAGAGAATAACCATGAAAACTTTACACCAAATATCACATTTACTTTTGAGCTGCTGCCTAGTCACTTTTCTCATGGTTTATTACAGTACCCAACACCAACAATTCTAAGAAGGAAAAGTGTATTTCCTTCTTAGAAAACTTTGCTTTTATTCATTTTATTAGCTTTATTGCTTCCAAAACCTTGCTCCTCCTTCCATAGTCAGCTGGTACCAAGGCAGAGGGACAGGCAGAAGAGAAGACGCTCATGGCATGGCAGCAGGAAGAAGAGAGAGAGAGATCAAGGGACAGAAATATACCTTTCAGGCCACACACCTCATGACTCATCAACCAACCTTAACCTGCCAGCATCACGAACTCAAGTATAAACTCATCTGTGTCCAAAATCACTGATAAGTGTCACACCTCCATGATCCACTGACTTCCCCAAGGCCTCACCTCTAAACACATGAGGCTTTGGGGGAACATCTAGATGTAACCACAACAGCTTCTAATAGTATTCTTTTTAAAGTTAGGAACAAAATATTGATGTCTATTGTCCCCACTTCTGGGAAATACTAGCCTAGGTACGGAAGAAAAATAAATGAGGTGTAAGAATTAAAACAGGAAACAAAACATTTTTTTCAGACTGTATTTATCTACATGCCAGCAATAAAATTAACAAAATGAACAGGCACATTTGGGTGTGACAGTGCATGCCTGTAATCCCAGCACTAGGAAGGCTGAGGTTGGAGTATAGTTGAGAGTTTGAGACCAGCCTGGGATGCAAAGTGAGCTCAAGGCCAGCCTGAACTACATAGGGAGACTCTGTCTCAAAAAGACAATAATAAATAAATAAATAAAATAAAACTAGGAGCAAGGTTTTGGAAACAAGATAAACATACAAGAATAGTAGTAATTCTGTATAACATTCTTGACCAAACTTAAAATATAATCATTACAATAATAAAAAAACTGTAGGAAAAATTATTATTTTATGCCACTTGAGACAATTACTTACCAGTTTTATGTTGCATTATTAAGCAACATAATAAATGAACTGGAAAAATGTGGGGGCTAGGGATGTAGCTCAGTGGTAGAATATGTGCTTAGCATGCCCAGGGTCTTATGTTCAATCCCCAGCACCTAAAAAGACAAAAGAATTTAAAAAATGAAGGAATGTATTTGCCATGTTCAAGGGTAAAAAGAATCAGTATCATAAAGATGAAAATACTGTTCAGTGAAGTTCCAGTTGAACTATGAATAAGGAATAAGAGTTTAAAATAAACTTTGATAAATTAACCCTAAAATTACACGGAGGAACGAAGGTCCTAAAATAGCATGACAACAGAGGGTGGTGGTGAACAAGTTAGGGAGAACTTAACTTCCAGGTATCAAAACCTATTATAAATCCTTAAAACATAAGAAAATAGAGATCCTCAAAATAGACCCACACATATTTGGAAGGCCAATGACAGGTGAGCTACTATCAATCAGTTCAGAGGCTGGGGATATAGCTCAGTGGTGTAAGCATCTGCCTGGCAAGCGCAAGGACGTGAGTTCGATCCCCGGTACGAATCAGTTCAGAAAGGATAACCAAATGGAGTACTAAAATGAAATTTCACCCTATTTCCTACTACACATACACAAATAAATTCTAAGTGGATTAAAGGCCTAAATGACAAAAGCACATTTGGACATTTTTGTAAGATAATAAGGGAAAATGCTGAATGCTTTAATTTGCGATGGAAA